GATTAAGGGATGAAAAAAAAGCAGTTCGACAGAGAATTAAATTTGCCATCAATTAACCCTCTTTCATCCCTTAATCTCAATTAGTAGGGGAGAAGTGAATTTTTAATTACCGGGAGTCACTGTGCGCCACAAAACAATTATTTTTCTTACTGCGCTGTGATTTCCATGACAGTTTCTTCTATTTTTTACAGAGATTAAGGGATGAAAGAGGGTTAATTGATGGGTAATTTAGGTCTCCGTCAAACAGCTTTTTTTTCATCCCTTAATTTCAATTAGGAGGGGAGAGGTGAATTTTTAATTACCGGGAGTCACTGTGCGCCGCGAAACTATTATTTTTCTCACTGGCCCATGACTTTCATGGCAGTTTATATTTTTTTGTTACAGAGATTAAGGGATGAAAGAGGGTTAATTGATGGGTAATTTAGTTCTCCGTCAAACAGCTTTTTTTCATCCCTTAATTTCAATTAGGAGGGGAGAGACAAATTTTTAATTCGCGGGCAAATGGTGAAAAGTCACTGTGCGCCGAGAAGAAAATTATTTTTCTCACTGGCCCATGACTTTTGTCGTAGTTTGTATTTTTTTGTTACAGAGATTAAGGGATGCCACGGGGATCGATTGATGGGGAAGTTAATTCTCCATCACACCGTCTGTGTTTCATTTCTTAATATTAATTAGCCAGCAAATGAATCACCTGAAAAACATTAAGAACATGTTGAGAACGAGGAGGGCATAAGTTCCCCTCCGAAACTATCTCTGTGACAGTGGGACTGCTACTGCCGAGTTACCGGCACAGGCAGTTCGCCCAGCCGTCAGATTCGACCGTGGCGCCATCCCTCCGTTGGGGTCATACTATTTTTGGCTTGGGGTCACTTGAACCCCGAGATCTGAGCCGCTACTTTAGTTAATCCTCTTTGCCGTCTACAACGACGTGCTTGCTTGAAAACAAACGTTAAGGCCCGGATGGAGGCAGCGTTGCCAACCATACCATAATTATGGTACCGCTACCATAATTTCACATCAGATACCATCTACCATAAAGAGTNTTCGCCCAGCCGTCAGATTCGACCGTGGCGCCATCCCTCCGTTGGGGTCATACTATTTTTGGCTTGGGGTCACTTGAACCCCGAGATCTGAGCCGCTACTTTAGTTAATCCTCTTTGCCGTCTACAACGACGTGCTTGCTTGAAAACAAACGTTAAGGCCCGGATGGAGGCAGCGTTGCCAACCATACCATAATTATGGTACCGCTACCATAATTTCACATCAGATACCATCTACCATAAAGAGTTCTATGGTATCCCTAATTTTACCATAATTTCTTGTTTCGGGGAGGAGACCACAAAAAATGCTTGTTTTTTAAAATTCTTTATTCTGCCAATGAATCATCCGGAAATCCCTCGTCATCTGGCAACTGATCACGGAATCCCGAATCATTTTGTATTTGGATGAGCTATTGGTCAATCTCGTCATCAATCTCTCTTTCCCCTTTCATCTAGGCGTTATTCATTCAGACTAACATCAAGATTTTCCTCCTCATCATCATGATCAGACCCAACTATTGGTTCTTCAACTTCATCCAGATAGACATCCTCCACTTTTTCATTGTTGACGTGGTGAATGAGATGAATTTGAGCCAAGAATAATCCAGGAGCTATAAATATTTTCATTTTACTGTGTGCTTGTATTCGATTATGTTTATTCTCCACCTAGTTTACCCTTCCAGACATCGACAGTACCGCTCCTAGTAATTTCTTCTGTTTGATTGAGTGTTCAAAGAACAGAAAAAAATAGGATTTTGTGTGTTTCATTTCAATTTTCCGAAAAAGGCACTTTTAACGTGGATACCATAATTTGAACTGAAATACCATAATTTTGTTACGTTGGCGCCATAATCGCCTACGTTCAGGTTGGCAACGCTGGATGGAGGTTCCACAAGAAAGAAGGCCGCCATGACCTGGCCATAGCCATCAGTGGCCCCGTCCTTGGGTCGGCTCTGGCCGTTCCATGATTTTTTCAGGGCTTTTCCATGGCTTTTCATGGCAAATTGGATTCATGGCCGCCTTCCATGGCCTTTCATGGATGGCCATGGAAGGTGGCCATGAAAGACGGCCACCATGGACAGCCATGGAAGGTGGCCATGAAAGACGAGCATGGAAGGCGGCCATGAACCCAAATCCATGAAAAGTCCTGGAACGACTATGGAAAGGCCATGGAACGGTCATAACCCTCCATAACCGGGCCATGGCCAGAGCCACTGATGGCTGTGGCCGGGCCATGGCGGCTTGCGTACATGCAGCATCCTTTTTATCCGTTCCCGGTATATCCAATCATCTAGATATGGTGGATGAATACCCGCACTTGTTATTTATTCCACACACAAAAGAATACATAAATCCCGGAAAACGAAGTTACGCGACAATTCCACATTATTATTCTATTTTTTAATTGCACTTTCGTTATCATCTGATGAGTATTGGCAAAATATGAAGGTCAGAACGAGCTGGCGGTCGACTATTTTGTCGTCGCACCAGGAGACAGATAATCATTTCAGATAGTGTCGCCGTACATGATGAGGGCGCTCAAATCTGAAAAGACTATCTGTTTCCCGCCGCGAAACAAAAACGTTTTTGACATTTTCTCTTGAAATTATTTGTTGTCAAGATAAATGCATAATCAACATAAATCTCGACCTGAAGTTATGAACAAGTTCTATCAGCCTACTCTGAATACTTCACAAATAAATCAATACAATAAATTGGGTGAATTCTTGTTTTATTTTTATATTCTTCCGTTTTACCATTACTGGATTAATCATCGCTCAAGGGTTTCTGGTTAACCCTTATTTTGACCAATTCCACCATTTTGCCCCACATTCCCCAAAAATTTGATGAAAACGATAAATTTTGAATTTTTGAAACGTTCTTGAAACAAAAAATAACAATACCGATACATCGGTTCGTCGATTTTTTTTCAAGAATCGGTTTTCTAAAATCGATTTTGCTCATTAATATCGATTTGGACGATTTCGATGTTCCTTTTGATATCGCGAATTCCTCACCCCACCCGTCACGTACACTACGTCGCACTTCTCACCTCATTCGCGCTTTCGTTCCGGATGTGATCACTTATATAGGCAAACTGATGAGTCCGTTCCCTTTGTAACTACCCCCACTTTAGCTAATCCCCACGCGCACCCCTATCTCCCACCTCTGAAAACGATGAGAACGGACTCGTCAGTCCGACAGTACATTGCGTATCTCTGTCCGCTCCATTTCTGTAACCTTTTGTCTGCTTATTAAATCTAAACTATCGTATGGCTCATTATATTCGACTCATTACTTTTCTCAGTGCTTTCAGTTCCCTTGTTTATTTTCTGACTTTTGTGTACATTTAATAATTAATTTAGTGACAATATATTGTGTTTTGTGGAAAACCACATGGGAAGTGATTTTTTTGGACCCCCTCACGCACTGCCGAAATAGTATATTTTGTCATTCCGACCGTAAGGCAGCGTTTCACGGAAATTCTAATTCTCTTAGAATTCTTTAATGCCTAAAGGAAGTTAGGCGGTGTATGAGGGGAATTTGAGAGTGAATTTCTGTTGTTCCCGGTAGCTTAGTCGGTAAGAGTGCCCGGCGCGTATCTGGGAGACCCGGGTTCGATTCCCGGCTGGGTGAAGCGGAAATTTTTTCGTGAAACGCTGCCTTACGGCCGGAATGACAACATATACTATTACATCTTACCCGTCCCTCATATATTCCACCAATTTCAGATACGGCCTCAAGTAGTGTGCAATAACAATTACGAATCAAATTTTTCATCACGCTGTGATGAAAAGTGAACTTTTCGGTACGCTCCGCGTGCCTAAAAGTCCAATTTCCGCCACATTGTGATGAAAAATATTGTTCGTAACTCGTGAAAAAATGTTTTTTAGCACTCGTTACGAAATATACTATTTTAAATTCAACTCCTACACAACTAATTTCTTTTTTTTTTATAACAAATTACACCATTCATGTAAAATAGCTGGAAAACTGTGTCTGAAAGAATCGGAAATATATTTTAAATATTTCAAAAATAATTTTTCTGCCTATGTTACATGAATGGCGATCTTCAACAATCGATCTTCAATACATGAGAAATCTCACTCTAATAGCCCGTAACTTTTGAAGCTCATAGTAGTCTCCCCTTAAATAATTTGATCACGATTTCTTGCATCCCATTGTTTTTATTCGTTTTCCATTCGGCTATTGAGTGATAATGGTACTGGAGGGGTGGATAATGAGAAAACCGTTGAGTGAAAATTGCTGACAAGATTCTTAAAAATGTTTGCTAAAAGATGTAAAGAAGCAAATTTTCTTATTCTCAACTATTTTAAATACTTGAGAATAAGAAAATTTGATTTATTTGTTCTTTGTTTTAATTTTTCGAAGGCGATATGGAGAAATATAAGAATATATACTTTTTTCATTTCTTTTAGAAATTGGGGTATTGATTTGAGTAAATTAAGGTTCTGTAGAGGGGTTCCTTCTCCCTTTTACTGGAGGTCACATGGGCCAGTGGCACGATGGAAGAAAAACATTTGGATCTCATGGAATGTTGGATCTAAACATGAACTCATTTCCGGCCATGAAAATAGGTTGAGATTTAATGTTGTGTGTATATCTAAATGGAGTTCAAAATATGTATTCATGGAAAATGAAACATATGCTACTATACTCTAGGCTTTAGCAAAAAATTCACGAAGTATAGTGAAAAATGAAATATTTTCGTTTCATTTTACCTCAAATATTGGATTTTAAACAGATGTACTGAGTTTTTTACTATAATTTGTGAAGGTTTCAGAATAAATTTCTCAAAGCCTCTTTTTTTCAAAAGAATTGAAAACAAAGTAATCTACAAATCTATTTTAAACTCACAATTCTTCCCTATTTTCGTACCAATTTAATTGAACAAAATCTAAATGAATTTTATTTTAGCGAACATGTCAGCAAACTTACATATTGAGAGAGCAGCAGGGTGGAATTTCCATCCTACGGCCAGTTTTAAGCCACTGTAGTAATTCTTCAACTGCAGATATGCATGGGTACGGTGTCGCGCCAAGAGTCATGATTTCCCACAGCAGAATTCCGTACGACCATCTACAAAAAATATTTTCCATGAGAATTAACGCTTTTTTTTATCACATCATAATTCAATGAATATCATAATTCAATGAAAATTCTGTTGAAAATGAAACAAGTTGATAAATTCGGATCCCTCTGCCATGATAGAAAAAATGGGAGAATTGAGTTCACGAGGCCTCTTAATCGATAACATTTCTTAACAATTAACGAATAGGATCCTTTTATCAGTATACATAACTCATCCTCTTGAGTGTGCAAGTCTCTATGTGCTTCTCCATAGAAATTCTTACAGAAATTTTTATAGAAAAGACAATCGAAATTAGCAATCGAATTTTCATAGACTTTCGATAGGGACTAGCTGATAGTTGTACTAGATTTTCGTTTGGATTTCTAATTTGTGCCATCTTGGGATCGACACGTATTCTTCTCTGACGTGACTGCACTGATAGAATAGTTTAGTCTAACCAAACGAGACTTTTCAACTATTACCACGATTCGTTAACGTGATAACAGTTACGATTCGTGGTAACAGTTAAGAAGCCTCGTTTGGTGCAACTGAATCGTTCCACCTTTTCTATCAGTGTACTGAATTAACTAAGCCAAACTTAGAAGAAATACTTACACGTCGGACTGAGTGGTATAAACCCGATCGAAAAGTGCTTCCGGTGCCATCCATTTGACCGGTAATCTGCCATCAGTAGTTTTTCTGTAGTAGTCATGGCAGTGGATATCCCTAGCCAGTCCAAAGTCCGCGATTTTGAGCACATAGTCCTCCCCAACGAGAACATTTCTCGCAGCCAAGTCTCTGTGTATACATCTTTTGCTCGAGAGGTAGTCCATTCCTCTGGCGACCTGGAAAGCAAACGACACGAGGTCCTTCTGCGTCAGGGTTTTCCTTTCTGGAGGCATCTCTCCTATCGTTGGCTCGTAACCTGATGAGGGTCGGTGTTTCCTCAGGAAATCACGGAGATTACCGTGCAATGCGAATTCAACGACTACATAGAGGGGCCCTCCCTGGGTGCAGGCACCTACGAAATTTATTATGTTACCGTGCTTTCCAATCATCTTCATCAGCTCCATCTCGGAGACGAGGTCCATCATTTCTGCATCTGTGTGACCCTCTACAAGTGGAATACAATTAATAGATAGTTGAAGTTTTTTTCAATAGTAACGACGTGGCAAAACAGTGATAACTTTTATAAACTTTTGTAGCTATAAAAGAACTGTTCAGGAATGTTTTTACTTCTATGATAAATCTTGAACATCAATCTTCAACTGAAACTAGCTTATTTTGATAGAAGATATGCATAAACTGTTGATAATTAAAAGAAACAAAGTAGGAAATATTCTTTCATTACATTGCATAATAATAATCCGATAAAATTTTTCGTCGCCGATTTAAATTCTTTGCTATTTCTTTATGTATTCTAGGAAAATGTGAGGATAGGAATTGAATTTATGGGTATTGCTTCATTATTTGAACAAAATTATCAATTTTAAAATTTTCCCTAGACATTGACAAATGACAAATTCTGTTTTCATGTGGATCTCGTTTCTCTTCCTCAGAGATTATAGGGGAGATGAGCAGGGCCAATGTAAAGTGTTCGACAGCAAAATTCGTAGCGGTGGCACATGGACTACGATGGAGCGTACGGAACTGTTGGTATGGTAGGGCCCGAATATAAATTTGTCGATAACCGGAAAGGGGTTCTCAATACGGTAGCTCCTCGCATTTTGTAATAATTGTCAGGAATGTAAAATCGAACATATTATAATCAATAGTATAATGAATGCACAATCTAATGATCTAAAAGTCTTTTCCTTTTTCTCGACATATTTATCATTGACACGTAGGTCAAAAAATTCATAGAAAATCCCAGCGCTGTCGCTGGAAAACTCTATAGTTTTCCAGTGATTCTATTGAATAATTGTGCAGATTTTGTTTTTTCTTATTTACTATAGTAATGTTCGATTATATATATTTATTCCCCCCCTGAGTGAGAAAGGAATATGTATCGCGCTCGCTCCCACTCATTGTCGTCTCCGTCGCACTGTCACGTGCCCGTCCTCCACCAAAATTAACGAGTGCGAGTGAGAAAGAAAATGGAGAAGAAGGAGAGAGAAAACATTCCAACTCGTTTGAAACGGTTGGAACGTTTTCGTTGTTCTCCAGCGATCTACACATAATGGGATTAATTCAATAATAGATTAATGAATAAGATTTTTCGCAGATTATTGCGAGATTTAGATGAATGGTTTGCCTCCTTCAGTGACCATCAAAAATTGTCTCCAATCGACAATATCTTCCGATGAAATGAAACGATGTGAATGAATCAAGTATCAATTTGAATCTTTAAAAAATTAATCCAGAGTGAAAAAAAATCCCGGCATTCCACTCTGAGATTTCTCTCAGAGAAATTGTCTGCGTATACCGAGAAAAAAAAAACGTTGTTCCTAGGAATCGATGTGTCTTTTTTAGGCAGCTGCATTTCTGAAATGCAATGAGCAAGCAATGTTAAAATTAAGTCATTTTGTAAAAAATTTCCAGTGACATGATCCTGAAAATCAAAGGAAAGTTTTGAATTCAGGAATGATGTCTGTAGGTTTCAGTAATATTTTCGCGGAAATTCCGGGAACATTTATTGGGAATTTTTATCGCGTTGCCGTAATACGGAAATTTCAAGGAATTTCGTCATTGCAAATTAAAAATTTCTATAAATTTCAGTCCAATTATATGTGTACGTCCACGTGAAAAGGGCCCATTTTATCGCATCTAATTTCCGAGATATTCACGTTTTTATCTCCACTCCATTTATCCTATTATTAAATTGATTTTTTGATCTTCTATACGGACGTCACACGGAGAAAAATAAATCGGTAAAAGTCTTGCGATCGCAAGGAGTTTCCCGACGATCCCCATTTTTCATGCACGAAGAACAATGAAGCTTTTTGGAATCTTCGGGAAATTCTATCCTATCCTACTCAAGTAGGAGCGAAGGAATGAATTTTCAAAAGCGCGGAGTAACCCCGAACGGTTCTCCGGCGTCGAGTGAGCGCGGAGGGGCTCCCCCGATTAGAAAATTCATTTCTCCCCGCCCCCCTAATTGCGAAGAGAGAATGAACGCAACACCTATCGATCGAGAATAATATTCTCAATAAATGACAGTGGTTTCATTCCCTAAGTCTCTATTAGGAGAGGAGGAATGAATTTTCAAAACGCGCAGTAACTCCGAACAAGTTCATCCCATTCAAAAATTAGTTTCTCCCCTCCCTAATTGAGATGAAGGAATTAAATCAAAGCGTACAGATTGAGAATTGCATTTTTAATAAATGACATCGGTTTCATCTCTTAATCTCAGTTAGAAACGGAGGAATGAATTTTCAAAAGCGCGGAGAAACCCCGAACGGCTTTCCGACGTCGAGTGAGCCCGGAGGGGCTCTCCCGATTGGAAAATTCATTTCTCCCACCCTAATTAAGATGAAGGAATGAAACCGATGTCGATCGATAGAGAATTAAATACGCAATAAATGACAGCGGTTTCATTACTTAATCTCAAGTAGGAGCGGAGGAATGAATTTTCAAATGCGCGGAGAAACCCCGAACGGCTCTCCGGCGTCGAGTGAGTCCGGAGTAGTCCAATGAACGAAGGTCTAACATACGAATGTTTGCTAATCAGGCTCCATTTTTGAAACAATTTGTGATTTGGGCGTATGAAACTAATAGCGGATATTTAAGGTTCCCCCAGTTTGGGTGGGGGTTGAAAAAGCCAAAAAACTACCCCTGAAAAGCGTTTTTTCGAAATGACTCGTGAATAACGCGCTGTACGTCCAAAAACATAATATACAAAGTTGTAGAGCTCAAAATTCTACACTAAAAATGTTTGGGGCACTTTACCCCTATTCCCAACCGTTCATCCCCCAGAGCCGCGTGAAGATCAGATGGGAAAAAAAAATGTTTTCCATTTAAAAAATTGAAGTTAATGAATTTTTTTTTTTAATTCGGAATATCAGTGTTTTTTTTTCAATAGCTTGTTTATTTATTCAGAGCGAATTTAATATATGTTGCTATTTATATCTTGACATTGAAACGATGAATTTCTTTTTTTTTTTTCCATATTTTTTATTAGAACATTTACCACAAATTTTATCTTGATTGTACCCGCGAATCTCCTATGGATTCAAAGTTAAACGCAATTTTCTAGCTCCAACCCCTAAATCCGGCGCCGGGAATGAGAACCTTTTGTGCGAGAGAGAAGTCTCCGTCTCGCTCCCACTCACAACAGCATTGTTGCGACCATTTGCGCATGTGCGCGCGGGCCTGTGGAACATCACGGACTGAATGCGAGAAAAAGAATCATTTGAGGTTTTTCGTCAGCCGTTCGCTCTCTCTCCCTCTCACTCTCTCTCTCGCACTCTCTCTCTCACTCTCTCTCTCTCGGATGAAAAAAAGGCTGTTTGACGGAGAACTAAATTACCCATCAATTAACCCTCTTTCATCCCTTAATCTCTGTAAAAAATGGAAGAAACTGTCATGAAAATCACAGCGCAGTAAGAAAAATAATTGTTTTGCGGCGCACAGTGACTCCCGGTAATTAAAAATTCACCTCTCCCCTCCTAATTGAGATTAAGGGATGAAAAAAGGGCAATTCGACGGAGAATTAAATTCTCCATTAAGTAACCCTCTTCCATCCGTTAATCTTTGTAACAAAAAAATATAAACTGTCATAAACCTCAGGGGCCAGTAAGAAAAATAATTCATTCGCAGCGCACACTGAGTTTTCACCATTCGCCCGCGAATTAAAAATTCACCTCTCCCCTCCTAATTGAGATTAAGGGATGAAAAAACGGCAGTTCGACGGAGAATTAAATTCCCCATCAATTAACCCTCTTTCATCCCTTAATCTCTGTAACAAAAAAATATAAACTGCCATGAAAGTCATGGGCCAGTGAGAAAAATAATAGTTTCGCGGCGCACAGTGACTCCCGGTAATTAAAAATTCACCTCTCCCCTCCTAATTGAGATTAAGGGATGAGAAAAGGGCAGTTGATGAGGAATTTAATTCTCAGTAGAACTGGCTGTTTTTCATCTCTTAATCTCAATTAGGAGGGGAGAAGTGAATTTTTAATTCGCGGGCGAAAGGTGAAAAGTCACTGCGCGCCGAGAAGAAAATTATATTTCTCACTGGCCCATGATTTTTGTCGTAGTTTGTATTTTTTTGCTAGAGAGATTAAGGGATGCAACGGCGATCGATTGATGGGGAATTTAATTGTCTGTCGAACTGCCCTTTTTTCATCGCTTAATCTCAATTGGGAGGGGATCGGTGAATTTTTAATTACCGGGAGTCACTGTGC